AAGATGAAGAGTAGACCCCCTTTGAAGATTATAGTCTGCAAAAGTTTTCCCATCTTCTAATTGCTTGCCAGCAAAAACAAGGTGTTGTTGATCAGGAGGGATTCCTTCCTTGTCCACAATCTTTTGTTTAAGTTCTTCAATGGTGTCATCAAATTCTAAATCAAAACTTATTGTCTTTCCCGTTAATGTTTTCACAAATATAATGCCAGCACCAGGTGATTCTTTGTCAGTACTGATTTTAATTACAAGATGAACAGTAGCCTCCTTTGGGATGAAATAATCTGATAAGGTACACCTATTTACTAATCGCTTGCCAGCAAAAAAGAGGCATTGTTGATCAGGAGAAATTCCTTCTTTGTCCTGGATCTTTTGTTTAACTTGTTCAATGGTATCATTCGAATCTACTTGCACAGTTATCGTTTTTTCGGGTAGTGTTTTCACATACAAAGAACCAGAAAATTGATTATAATGAAATAGTTTAAGTGTAGATTCATTCCTAATCCCATAATTTGCTAAGGTTTTAAGTGTGTTGTATTGAGATGTGATATCATAACGATGCATAATTCCGTTATTAATAGTAAAATATGTTATTTGATGAGAGGGAATGCCTTCTTTATCTTGGATCATACGAATAACCTGTTCGATGGTGTAACTTCTATTGACATCCAATTTTATGATTGTTTCATCCATTAATTTTACATAGATCATTATTGCTTCATATTCTAGATACAATGTAGAATCGTGCCTGATACTATAACGTGCCAAGAAATGGTCATCATACAATTCTTTATTAAAAACAAGATGTTGTTGGTCAGAGGGGATGCCTTCTTTATCCTGAATCATTTGCTTAACTTCTTTAACTGTGGCATATATCCTTGTATTTAATTCTATTGTTTTTTTGTTCATTATGTTCACATAGATTTTCATCAATTCTAGATAAAATACCCATTTTCAGGTATATTAGCATTGAACTTTTTCTTTAGTTGGTGTAAATGCAAACTCTGATTGAAAAAAAATTATTAAACTTTTTAAAGTAGCTACCTAATACATCGACTAAATCACCTTTCTAAATTAAAAACTATGATTCATTATCATTGTATACATATTTATTTTTTTTTCAACGATTTCTATATAATAGAATAGGCACATAAAATATTTACCTTGATACCCAACTTTTCAAGCGTATCAGCAGGCTGTATGTCCTTGCCATGATACACAAGCTTATAGGGATAGCTGCCGTTCAGTCTAATGCAATCTTGAAAACTCTTTAACAATAATTCTCCAGTCGTATGTATAGTCACCTTTGCCACATAGGTTGAACCCAGTGAATATTTAAAACCCTTATAGTTAAGGTTGATAGGAAAAATGGGAACGGAATCAAGCAAAGTGGTCAAGAGCATTTTGGGATATTATTTTTTGCAAAATGACTCTTATATTTGGAACCTGAATAGATAAATCCGGTAATTCGTATAGATGTTACACTTTCATGCAAAGTTCTGTTACAATAGAGTTATATTTAAATGAATAGGCTGCATTCTAATTTACGTTACACGATATCAATGAGATATTTAGAAGTTCTTCATACACCAAGAATATAAACACTCGAGCACTTAGGGCTCTGACATTTATTACCTAATATTCATTTACTATAGAGCTCTACCCCCTCCCCCCCAGGTAATATTTTTATTACCCAATTAAATTTTAGTATTATATTGAGGTAAGGTTTGGCTTTACCCCACCCCCTAAAATATTACCTAATAAACTAGGCGCTTGAGTTGTTCGAAGGGAGCTAGAAATGAGCGTGTTGTATTGTATAGTATTGGTATATTATGCATGTATAACAGAGAATCATAGTTTTGGATAAGCATTT